GCCACCGGCTGTGGTCAGACCCACCGTGCTTTAGGTTTGGGGGCGTCTCCCAGTCGTGCGGCTTCGGCAGCTCCGTGCTGGGCGTCTGCCCGCTCCGGCGTTCTGGTGGCCTCGCCCAGGCGCTGCCCTGCCACCCCACTGCCCACACCCACTGCGGAAATGGCCCTTCCGGGTGAGCTGCGTCCTGTCCCGGACGCCGCGTCGTGGCCGCGCGGCCCCTTCTCTGACCGGGCCCGCTGGGCGCCTGCAGGCGGCGCTGGGTCCGCTAGGCTGGCACGGGCGCCCGCACAGCCCCCGGGGCGCAGGGAACACTGCCCCTCCGTTCTCTCCTCCCCGGACCCCCACTGCCTGCTCAGCCCGGGGTGTCTGCGCCCCGCCGGAGGTCCAGGCCACGAGGTCCCCACGCCCTCTGCTGGCCTTCCGCTGCGGGTCCCCCCAGCACCGCCAGCTTCCGCTCTCAGTCAGGGACGGGCCCCCTGCGCTTCACTGGGCGCAGCTGGGCGGCCGTGTGACTGTGCTGGCCGTGGGGGGCAGTGCCCTGGGAGCCCGGCAGCCTGGCCTCTGCACTGGCCGGCTGGGGGAGAAGGGGCACTGGAGGACGAGGCTAGGCGCGGAAACAGCCCCTCCCCTCCGCCAGGCGGCCCCGAGGGTCTTCCTGAGGGGAACCCCTGCCCCCTCCCCTGCTGTCTGCCGGCGGCTCTGGGCAGGCCCCAGGTGGGGGCCACTCTGCCTTTGGCTCCTCTGGGCCCCCCCACCGGCCGACACCCTGAAGGTCCGAGTGTGGGGCGCTGGGGGGGTGCCGGCCTCCGTGTCCCTCCGTGGCCGCCGCCACCACCGCCCTGTGTCTTGCAGACGCTGGTCTCCAGGCGCTCTTGCGGGACCCGGGCCCGCACTGGGCTGACGGGGACGCACAGGGCTCCCTGGGCCTCCAGGACATGGCCCACCTGATCGCTGGTGCCGTGCGGGGCGCGCAGCCGGAGGGGCCCCTGGACAGTGCCAGCAGCGAGGACGGAGGAGAGCCCGGCGGCAGGAGGGGC